AAATATACACGCACAGATATATATAGGACTGAAACATCTTTGAGCACTCAAGGGAAGTGTGGTTAAGAGTTGCCTCTGCTAGAAGAAGGGAGTTCGCTGAAGGGAGTTCAGTGTGGGGAGAAAACTTACGCAAATGTATAACTTTTGCTTATTTATTATTATTTTTTACTGGGTACACATTTGTTGTTAGTTATAAAACAGTGCTGCACAGAAGATTTTTCTCCAAGAAAGCCAGATTATTTCTCTTCAGTGTATTTATATGCCTTCCTTTTCGCATAACTCTGGAGAAAACACAGAAGATCTCACTTCACTTGAAACTGTGTTATAACAGCTAAAAAATCCATATCTAGACTTAACCACATGTGAGTTGTGTAAGAATTGAGCTATGTACATCTTAGGGAGAAATACTATTTTCAAAATTTCTTTTGTCCACTAAAGGTGACCTCATTAACACCCTTCTAACAATGTCACACATTTTCTTATTCTTTCCTCCCAGCAAGACTACAGGGTTGGCCTGTTACCATTCTTACTTTATACATGAGGAAGCCTAGACGTGAGGACGAGAAGGAGCTCATGCAAGGTCACAACACTAGGCACCATCAAAGGTTTGAATCCAGAGCCACTTGACTCCCAAGCTGAAGCCTTTAAGAATTGTTCTGTACTGGACTTAACTTGGCACAGTCACTTTAGGAAACATGGCACAGCAGCCACGCCAACCATCCTCTCCATTTTCAGCTGTAGCCCTTATTTCTCCATGTTAACATCTAAGAGATCTTGCTGTGAACATCTAGCAATCTCGCCCCACGGGAAACTGCACTGAGATGGTCGTGTCCAGGTACAGTGTGGCATGAAAAGGGTCTTGATTGTGTAAGATGCTGGGGACTGTCCTTTAATTCTGAGCCACACAAAGTCAGGCAGACACCGATGTGCTCATCTGGCTAATTCAGGTTCAGTCTCTCTTGAAACAGCTGAACAGCTGGATACTTCACCAATATGAAATTACCATCTTTCATATTCTATTTCAGGCTGTGAACCTGAGAGTCACTCTTTCTGAAGGTCAATAATGCTTTAATAAAAATAAATGATTTAAGTTAACCTGATGCTTATTATAGCTATAGCTTGCACAGCTATAAGTTTCTGGTGAATAGAGTGGAACATTGGCCATCAAAGAGAAATACTTTTTCTAAGAGAAATTAAGTTCTCATTCCATTCACCAAAAGGCTAAAGTATAGTGACCATTTGGATCAGGAAATAGTGCTAACTTTTAACATGATCCCAGTTCCCCAACTGACCCTGAAGATAACATCCTGTAATTCAAAGAAAGTTAATAAAAATGAAGCAGAGTAAAAACTTAAAACCTCATGAGCCACTTCCATATTATCACCTTTCAATGGGTTTTTACTTATCTCATAGACCATGCACCTGCTAAACAGACATGAAAAGCTGTATCTGCTTGCACAAAGTGAAATGATTGAAGCAACTACTCAATTAACTCAAGGTTTAACTCATTCAAAACTTAAAAGTTCATCCATGTCTTAAGTGCTGAATAGTTGCTTAGCTTAGAGGGATGAAAATATAGGGATACCATCTCTATTTAGCACTGTTAGATTAGCTGGTGATAGACTTTTTAAGAATTGATATACACATGTGCACTTCATATGTAACCCCATAGGAACCACGTGAACATATTAGTTGCAATCCATGTTCACTGCCTTGTGTCTGTTACTGTGCTCATTTCCAGAATATGTAATGAAAGGACCAAGACTGGACTTGGGTGTAGTCATGAAGGAGTCAATGTGACAGGAATAATAGGTGATTATTGTCATGCTGAGGAGCTTTAAAAATATTGCAAATTAACTCATTTTTTTCTTCACTGTAACCATAGAGAAGTATATTTTACTGCCATTTAGTACAGAATATTAACAAAGACATTAAATAACTCTCTCGCTTTTGGTTAGTGGTGGAACCTAACTGTTATATAGCTACAAAAATTATATTTCTGAAGATTATTTAATGATGGGGAAATTTTTCAATATTTAATAAAAAGTAGAGCATAAAACACATATGTGTATGTTTGTGCCTCATATATACAAGGAGACACACATATACTGACAATTTCCCCCAATACATACGTAAAGGATTAAAAATACTTGAAAGGTAATATACTCAATTGTTAATAATTTAGTTGTTGTAATGGAAAATTCATCCTTTCGCTTCATGATAGCTAGAGTTTATTAAAATGATTATCATTTTGAGACTCAGAAAAAGCAATCGTAATGATTAAGAAATTGTTCTAGAAGCTGTAGGAAATTTAAACAGGTCTATTGTCACAAAAGAAATAGAAAGGTGAAAGGAGCTATCCTCCAAAGTGAACAGCTCAGACCTTATTAACTCAAAAATGTCTGCTGGTACATTAGAAGAGGTAACCCCGGTGTCATTTAAAGCAGCTCAGAGCAGCCATGCCCAGTAGAACTTCTGGGATGATGGCATGTGGCAAATGCATGGAGAAACAGAGTTCCCAACTTTATTACAGTCAATTGAAATTAAACAGCCACCCATGGCTAGTGACTTCCATGCTGCACATCACGACTCTAGACTAGAAAACAGCAAAGTTCAATGATTCTGATAAAGCCAGAAAAACCATTACCCAAACATGATAAAAATGTAAACTGTGACAAATTTCACACATGAATACCAACGTAACAAATAAATAATATACTAAATAAATTTGTAAATAAATTACAAATATAATCCAGACAGGTTCTACTTCAACTGTATCAATTGGGGATATAATTAGGGTTAGAGGATAGTATATACTGAAAATTCAGGGTGATTCAATGTTGGGAAAGCCATTAATATAATCCATTCCTTTTTTTTTCTGGTTCTGGGCATGCTAGGCAAGTGCTCTACCAGAGCTACAACCCCATCCTAACCCATTCTTTTGAACAGATCGAAAAACAAAACTTAGACCACCACAGCTATTGAAAAGACATGTTGGAATAACCTTCATTTTTGATTAAAAACTGTTAATAAAATAAGACTAAGTTGACATTTCTGACATTATTTTATAATGAGAGAAAACATATATCTCAATAAAGAAGATTGCACGGGGAAATAACAAATTTGAAAATGATAAAAACAATCTCATTAAATTGAGGGCACTCATAAGAAGAATGTGTGAGATTGATAGGGATGTTTACAAATGCTACTGGGGACAAAAAGAGTGTGTAGAAGGAGAACAAAATATATGTATATATTTTACTTGGAAAAGAAATTTCAACATCAAAGGTTATAAATTTCTCCTAACTTATTCTATAAATTTGCCAACTGGTATGGCAATTCTAAACTCATATAAACAGTGAAAACAGAGCAACAGAAGAAGTTAGCATGGGCAGATAAGAGATATTATAATTCTAGGGTAATGGAAAGAACAGCTGCGTAGGCAGGTGGATTAATGGTACAGTTTAGACAGCATTGAAACAGGACTGAGTACACAGGGGGATTTAATATATGCTAAACGGCTATACTGCAGTTGAGGGGAAAGCAACTACTCAAGAAAATGGTAAGCCATCTGAAAAAAAAAGGTCTTCTACTTCATTTTCTGCACTAAGTTCTCTGGTATTTAACCATAAAAATGTGATGGATAAAAACATGAGAGAATTTTCTCTAGTCTTGGTCTGTAGAAGATCTTTTTATACAAATCTTGGCAGCTATATTAAAAGATTGATAAATTTAGTTATGTAAAAACCAAAGATGTTTTCATATCCAACATCACTGTAGGTAAAATCAAAGACAATGACAAGCTGGGAGAAAACGCTGAATCCTATACCACAAATAATTATGAATAAAAATTTGTATACTTTAATAAAAAAAGATTGACTAAAAAGTGACAGAATATAAGCATATACTTTACAGAAAAACTTCAGTTTTTTTATACCTAAAAAGATATTTAATGTTACTTTTAATTAAAAAATGTGATATCATTTTTAATCTATCAAATCACAACAAAAAAGGTATTACACATTCTTTTGGTGAGGGTATAGGAAGCAATTTTTATAGACTGCTGATTAAAATATAAACTGGTTCAATGTTGGTTTTGGCAGACAATTTTGCAGTATACATTACAATTTAAATTAATATACTACCACCCTAACAAACTTCCAGTATTTACCATATAGATATACCTATACATGTGCTAAACTTCATATGAACATGAGTGTTTTTCTTTTGTAAGAGAAAACAAGTCCACGAACAGGAGCTGGTTAAATAAATGTGACATATGCAGACAGTGAGGAGACAGCTTGGTTTGTGTGATGACATGAATTAATCTCCAACATAATCTCCAAGATGAAGTGAGAGAGAAGGGAACAGAGTTGAGTGTGCGCTCTTTTGTTTAAACAATGTGTGCACACGTAAGAACAAGTGCATTTATATGTGCATGAAACAGCCCTAGGAAGAGAAGACAGTTCTTGGACTGGAACTGGGTAGTTGAGGGACACACATGGGAAAGCAACTGCTTTTCATCATATCTAATTTTATAACTTTTGCATTTTATACCATACTTATATATGTGTGTGTGTTCAAGAATTAACTGCTTTAAAGATAGCTTATTTATTATATCCATTTCTTCTTCTGTTCCCCAAGAGGACATCTTGGCTCTTTCCAAAGTGTGTTGTCCCTTCTAGCATAATTCACTTCCCTTTGTCCCTTTATTCTGGGCCTAATTAAATAAATAATTGTTTACAAAAAGCAACAGGAATGTGGGACAAATCACTGTCATTTTATGCAATACAAGTAAAACACCAAAATACGTATATTTAAGAGAAGTCTAAGAAGCTCTAACCAGAAAGGTCACGAGTGTTTCTGTTGAGTGGAAGTATAATAGATAGTTTTCACTTTGTCTTGGTAATTTTCTGTGGTTGTAAAGTTTATACAGTACTGTGCATTGCTTTTGCAGTAACTTTTAAAGGTTATGACTTTTTAAACGTTTTGCTACTCACCTGGTTCCTGTCCCTGGCATTTGCATATCGAAACCTCTGGATATAATAAAAGACCAGCCATGCGAGGGAAATGATCATCAGAACAATGAAGGAGATGGAGACAAACACAACCGAGGTGCGGCTCACGTATTTCTGCAAGTTCCGTGTGCCGATGGTGATGTACATGCTTACGGTGACGTTCCTTTCCAGCAGGCCCACGATCTCCTTCCCTTTTGGCTCAGGAATCATTATGGCCACGATGTCTTCCACACCTGTGGCAGAAAAGGCAAGAGGAGGGGCGGGGGTGAGGGCAGGAAATCAGAGTGAAATGTCTGCGTGAAGCATCGTGCTAACAAACAATGACACTATTTCTGAGAGCCTGTGTACTATGCAGGGTAAAAGTTACATGACTTTATCCTAAGAGAGAGTCATTAAAAGTGCAGGCATCTAAAAATGGCACAAAGTGAAGTGAATTGGGATGAATTATTATTCTGATTAATGTACAAAATCCAGACAAAAAGGTACTCTGCTCGAGGGTCTAATTTGCTCAAAGGAGACATGGGTGCTGACGCGAATAACTAGACTGTTCCCCGATCTTTGCTTCATCCCAGCAGAACACCCCAAGAATAACTGCAGTGTAAGTGACCTATGCATGTGTGAGGCAGGAAAGATGAGACACAGGGGCAGGCAGGGAGAGGCTGGGGGGTGCAGAAAGCCCAGGGAGGGACCTCAGGGTCAAATCTTGCCCTAAGTAGCTATACACTGTCTATGTGTGGCACAGTGGTGGCTCTGGATCTCAGGGAAGAGAAGTTAACAGATGGCACATCTTGAAAGGGTAAATCTAGAGGTCAATCTACTTGGGTAATTCTGTGTTTACGTGATGCCTAGTCACTTGAATATTGAGTGACTCTTTTGGCAAAATTACATCAGTCTACCATCTATCTTCCTCCTAAAGGTACTTCATATTTCTGAGTAGCAAGTGATAAAACTACGTATTCTGGAAAAGCTTTTCAGTCTGAGGGGAGAAAGTGTGGCTAGGACACACAGGAGTTGGCTGCTGGACAAAGCAGGAACAATTTGCTTTTTTAATGCTTCCTTTGTCTATGATAGTACTTAGCTACTGTGATCTCATTTGGTAAATGCAGGTATGTAAGAAGTCAGAACAAAAGTTCGCAAAGCTAAAAGAATGTTCAATAACCAGGAAAGCCTCATAAGTTCAAGCCAGGTTGTTTAAACATTGCATTGGGAAAATGTCTACAATACCAGCAGAGGGCTAGACTGAACAGAACCTGCAGTCCCATTCATTCCTGTGCACCTCAGGGGGTTGTGACCTTCCTTTCATAGGTTCCATGTGATGAAGACTGTTTCCAATCCCCTGCATTCTTCTCTTTTCCCTAATCTGAACTTGTCTCTCTGTTGGCCCTTTGGGATTTAAGAAAATATAAGAAAACTTCCATTGCTCCATTTATAGATACCTTCTATTTAATACTGCTACAGTTTTTTTTAAAATATAGTCAGCTTCTGATTATCATCTATTCTCAAGTGAGATAATTTTATGTGAATTCCAAAACTGCAAAGGTACCATATAAATGCAAATTGTTATTACTACTTTCTGCATCAACAAATATGTATTTGATATACACAGATACAACAATCCTAAATAAAGCACTCCCAAATAGAATCCAATGGTACAGTAAAACAACTTGTATGCTCAAGTGGGGTTTATTCTGGGAATATGAGGATGATTTAATGTCAGAAAATAGGATGTTTTTGAGCACATTAACAAATTAAAGCAACAAAGCATATGATTTATCTCACATAGCTCCTTATCTTCTGATACTTGATCTGCTTTTCCTCTACAGTATTAGTGCTTATGCTAGATATAAGTTGCCTAGTGGAGAGCATTAACCCAAGACTCCCTTGCAGCTAGACGTGGCCGTGTGAGTAACACTGGCTGCTGAGGTGTGAGACTGCAGGGTCTTGTCGTAGAAAGGAAGAGTGCAGCTATTATCATTTGTGTAGCCACATGACCATGTACAAAAGCAAAGACAAGACTCAAAATCAGTATCCAAAATAAGCAGCTTCCTAGACAATAATGCATAGCCAGAAACAGAAAATTATCTAGCCATAATAGCAGTTTAAAGTTATGCAATTTCTAAGAAGACCTAATAAACCTTAGCTCTAAATAAAGCTATAAAAAAAAAGGTTTCCCTAAAAAACATAACATGTTTCTAAAGAAACAGATTTCATTTTTAACTCAAGGATTGGTAATTAAGTACTGTGTGTATCTTGCTTCCAAATACATGTAATATTTTAGTTATCCATTTATAATCATTATGTTGTGTTGTTGCAGTATGGACAAGGAACATAGTCTCTTGAAATTAGTCCTTAATTATGGTTTTTATGGGTAAATGCTCCATTTGTATTAAAGAAGCATTGCCTATCCTTTGTTGCATATACATAGCTTATTGATTAAGTTCATTAACTGTATTCAAATATTCCTTGTGTCTCCTTAACTTATTAATTTTGTTCGATCAGTTTCTGAATGGGGTGAGATAAAATGACCGATAAAAGTGTTGATCGCTTTCTCTGTAAGGCTCTGCTGCTGTTTGATGCATTTGGAGTATGTGTGGAAAATGGCTTGTGTTTTCATGATGGTTGTGCCAGCTCAGTAGCATTGCTACTGAGTGGGCTCGTGTCATCACAGTTCACATTCTTTGAAAGTGATCTGTCTTGTGCAACCCTCTGGAGCTGAATTGTAGAGGATCTTTGAGTTTGTACATGTCACTATGTCTATTTGTGAGCACTCATCCATTACCTTGGCCCTTGTGAACATTTTCAGACTCAAGCATTTCATTCTTTCCTCTAATTCTGAAACATTTGATTTCATGCTATTTTCAAATATTTCTTCTTATATTTTTTCTCTCCTGTAATGCCTATTATCCTGTTGGTGGTAATCATTCCTCTATCTTACATGTATTTCTTATCCTTTTCCTTGTCTCACTAAAACAAGTCTTTATTTTGAAATAGTTACAGACTAATAAAAAGTGGCAGAAACCGTGCACTGAGGTCCTGTGTGGCTGTTTCCTGGCTTTCTCCGATGGTGTCACCCTATATAATTTTGGTGCATTATCAATGATGCTCTCAGTTGCAGACCTTACTTGCATGTATCAGTTTTTAAAATGTCTCTGTCTAGAATTCTATGACATGTTAACATATGCCTAGAGTCATATGACACTAACGTTGTCAAGATATTGACATTTCCCATCACACAAGGGAATGACCTCCATCTTCCCTGTCCCTTCCCTAACCCCTAAGACCACTTTATCACCTCCTCTTTAAGTTTTCTCATTTCTAGACTGTTACATAAATGGAATCACATAACCTGTAATCCTTTGAGATCAGCCTTTCTGCCTAATGCCCATAACATGCAGCCATGAATGCATGGGTAATTTATTCCTATTCATGTGTAAGTAGCATTTCGTGGTATGGTACATCACACTTTAACTATTCACCAGTTGATGGATATAGGGTTACTGCCAGTTTTGGATTGTTATGAATAATGCTGCTATAAACATTCATGTATGAGTTTTGTGGAAATACAAATTTTCATCTCTTTGGGATCCATGCCCAAGAGTAGTGCCATGACTAGGTCATATGTTTGTTTTTTGGTGAAACAGCCAAACTATTTTCTAGAATGACTGTAGCATTTTACATTCCCATCAGCCATGTCTGAATCATCTAGTTTCTTGTCTAGCATTTAGCATTAACACTGTTCTTTATTTCAGCCATTCTCATGGGTACACAGGAGTATTTCATTGGGTCTTTTATAATTTCTTTTCAACGACTCTGGCTAACTTGTGAAAGAGGTTCCATGTTAGCCAGCTTTCTGTCACTGAGGTAAAATACCTAAGGCAAATCACCTTAAAAAGGGATGCATATTTGGGTTCAGGATTTCAGTTCATGTTCAAGTCCAGGGGATGCTTTGCCTCTTTGCCTTTGGGTTGTGGTGGCACAGCATACAGAAGAGGTTGTTGCTTATTGCATGGTAGCCAGGAAGGGGAAGAGAGGAGAACGAGAGAGGAAGAAAGGGCTGGGGTCCCAATATCTCTTTGCCCTGATGACCTACTTCCTCCCCTAGACCCCATCACCTAAAGGTTTCCCTTCCTCTCGATAGCACAAGCTAGTGACCAAGCCTTTTGCTTATGGGCCTCTGGGGGACGCTTAAGAGCCAACCGTAGCAGTTTCTCAAGCTGATTTTCTAGCTTATCAGTTTGTCTTTAGCTGTATCCATTCTATATTTTAGCCATTTATTGTGTTCTTTAATCTATTGCATTTCTCATGCTAAATATTTACTATTGGTTCCTTTTCACAGTTCTGTCTGTGTAGCATCATTCTTTATCTAATGTCGGTGGCCATCATCAACATCATTCCTTCACAGGTGGTACTTACTCATTCGAACCGCCATTAATAATGGGGCTACTTCTCAGTTGTCTGGTTAATGGCCTTTGCACTCATCTTCCCCCGATGGAACCAGCTGCTCTGTCTGGTGCTGTTTACTGGAGCAAAACCAAGTCAGAGGCCTTAGCCATATTGCTCCACAAGATTAAGAAGAGACATAAGTAGGTTTGGGTGACCCCAATTACAGGGCAGTCAGTGGCTCCTCCAGGTACTCACTCAGGCTCTCTGCGAAATCACTGCTTACTCACCTCCCCACAGGTAACTGGAGCTCCAGTTACCTTTCACCTGAGGCACTGCTGAAGTTCAGACCCCGTGGGTCAAGAATCAGCACAGATACTGATGGCAGAGCTGCTCTGTACATCATGTTAGTCAACTTAATTTCCTACCCATGTCCACTCCAAGCCCCTCTGAGACGCTCAGATATTTAAGGCTCTGGTCAACAGATTCCATCATAGCCTCAAACTCTTCCAGGAATGGTCCCTTCACCTCCTTGATCACTCTTAGTGATAACTGCTTTCACTGTACTGTGGTTAAGGGGAAACTTCACATTTTTTACAATTTATTTTTATTACATCACGCATATGTCAGGGGTAGGACCAGATCTTCATTCCTAGCCTCATCACATCCACCTTCAAAAACTACTTATCTTGCCACACACCTGTAACCCCAGCTACTCAGGAGGCAGAGATGGGGAGGTTTGCAGTTCAAGAAAAGCTCAGGCAAAAAAGAGGGACCCTAGCTCAACAAGTGGGTGGTGCATGACAAAAATCCCAGCTGTGTATAAGCTGTATGTAAGAGAATCAAAGTCAGAGAAGGCAAAAAATGTAAGACCCTATCTGAAATGAACAAACAGACAAAACAAAATAAAGCAAAAAAAAAAAAAAAAAAAGCTCTTGGGGGTTTGGCTCAAGTGGTATAACACTTACCTAGTAAGCATTTTAGGTCCTGAGTTCAAAACCCAGTACTGGCCCCCCAAAGAAAAACAAAATAAGAAAACCCCAAAACATCTTGAGATGCTCTCCACTGGATTTATAACCCTACCATTCTCTGCTTGTTGCCCTCTGCCAGCCTCTTGCTTTTCTCTTCCCCCCCTTTAGTCTAGCTAGCTTAATAATTATCTGCCTTGGATTGGAATATCGCTGGTCCTAGGGATAAACCCATAGAGCTCTGGCCTCTTGGTTGTTTGCCTTCCTCCTCCCCATCTACCTTTCTGGTTCTCCTTGGACACCTACTCCCAATGCACTGTCCTGGACCCATCACCACAAGGAGCTATGCCACCATGCAACCCTGCTTTCAAAGACTTCCCTTTCCAAATGCTGTCTCCTCTCCTTCCAGCTGTCTTAGCTCATCTACCTCTCTCTACTCCCCATCAGCTGGCTTCACTTCTCTTAGCCAGCCTCCATCACGTAGTCTACAGTAACAAACTTTCCAACGTCCCCTGAACTCCTCTTCTGTTTCTCCACCCAACCCTCTTACAAAGTCACCTTCGCCATGCCTCCACTTCACCATGTGAACATGGCCAAGAGAAAAATCTCACAAGCCATCCACTTTCACTTAAAATTTATGATCCCCATCCTCAGATGAAACTGGACTGCCACCCTCTTCTGATGACAAGGCAATACAAGGGCCTTCTGCTCCAGTGGCCTCACCCAATCAGTGCACTGGGCACCATCTGCCATAGTGACTGGCTCAGGTCCAGACAGTGCACACAGAAATTTTATCTGAGTTCTGAGGGAAGCAAATGCCCTTTTCCCCATAGATCTTAAACAGGAGCACCAGTGAGGCTAAGCTCTGGGGGTCATTTCAGCATAAGAATAGGGATGAGGCTGCACTGAAGGAGGAGGCCATAAACCAGGGCAGATTTCATCATCTGAGTCTTGATCAAGCCACATCTGAAGGCAGCCTCTCTCTGGACTATGCAGTTATTTTTAAAGGCTGCTTGTATTTTCTCCTACATATCTGTATTATACTTCTAGGTAGTGACAAAACACAAAATTCTGAGAATATAGACCTGAAATCCAAACTAGAGTCACCAAATCTCATTATATTATCATGCTGTTTTTTAGGTGGTCTCTAATTTAATTTTACTTCAATCAGTTCATTTGATTTCACAGTAGAATTCACCCTTACTGTTGTCATATAGTTTAGAAAAGATTGTCTCTATCTATCACGCTAAATTATTGCTGTGTGCCTGGTACATATTATTTCAAAGCCATCCTAGACCATGACTAAATGACCATTCTGTACAGCTCCAAAGTATGTCCTGTTAGTTTTTCTACCCTGGGGAGAAGTTACTGCTGTACTAAAATATATATCTTTCAAGCAAGTCTGCACTGCCACACTGTTGGGAACAGCAAGGATATTGTCTGGAACACAGACAGTCTGGACAATAAACATAGTTTCCAGGGTATAAAAACCTAAATTCACAGTAGGACTAACTGAAGAGTTTGAAATTCTATCATTTGGGGACCAAATCCAGAACCTTTAGTACAGACCAACTGACATGATTCTCTAGAAAACCTCTAAGCTCAAAATCAAAAGGTTCATCTGAGTTGCTGGGTAAGCCCTGGTCAACCTGTGCTCTCCAGTGCTCAGCTTCAGTCTTGAAAAATGTCAGATGCTGCAGGTTGCTGAGGTGCATTTTAATTACACACCAGTTTCTCTCAGTGGAGATTTGTCATTACAGCCAATCACAAATCACTTTTATGAGGTTAGAAATCCTTTAAGGAGATGCTAACAATAGCCAAGTTTTATTTTCCTTGGAATGACTCTAGTAACTTAATTAACTCACTGATGTCAACTCCTCAGCTACGTTTGACAAGATAAATGAGTCATACTTTTAAAAAAATTTCATACATGTTCCTAGTATACAAGTGTAGAATTTTCTATGAATTTGTGTAAGGGGGGGTGATGCATATAAACTAAGGAGAGTGATGAGTAGAAAATAAAATAGTTGTAGTCCCATCTGTAGTATTTCTTAGGACATATTCAGTAAATCATAATGAAAAATAACTTGCTTTTAGTTTCTGTGACAATTTCAATCGTTGAAATGGATGACAGAGTCCAGGCTGAAGTAAAACAAACCATAGAATACTATCTTGATTTTTATAATAGTTCAGTTTTGATTATAGCAAATAATCATGCTCAAGAACTTTCTGTTTATATATAAAATATTTTAAATTCTAATTTTGGTTTTGTACGTAAATCATCTCATTAAGGAGCAGATAGAAGAACCATAGGGCAGGAGATTAGGGGATACTGAGATTTCCCAGAAAATTTCTCTTCTGAATAGTCATTTAATAAAATTAAAGAGACTCATTTATCAGAGCTTCTAGCTGGCTGACCTGGGAAGATTTATTAAACCGTTAATAATCGTTAAGCTTCAAGTTCATTATTGTCACAACTCTAATAGCAAATGTCTCTCATCCAAAGCGTTGAGAGCACAGGTTAAATGGAACAATGCATACAATGGACCTGTTTTTATTTATTTTTATTTTTGGTGGTATTTGGATTTGAACTCAGGGCCTTGTGCTTGCTAGGCAGGTACTCTACCACTTGAGCCACTTCACCAGCCTTACAATGAACCTCAAACACAGATGCTCAGTAAATATTAGTGATGACTGTCATCATTAACATCATCTTATCAAATAAATATTTAAAATATTCCGGATAGTATTAAACCTGCTGCTGTGGTTTAGAAATGAGATGTCCCCTGAAGGTGCATGTGTTGCAGGCCTGGCTCCATTGAAGAGTAATTGGATCATGAAGGCACTAACATCCTCGATGGATTAAATCCACTGATAAGCTCATAGGTGAATGGGCTAATAGAAGGTGGGGCCTATGTGGTAGAGTTAGGTCACTGGGCATGTGCCTTAGAAGGGGGTGTCTTGTTCTTGGTCCTTTCACTCTCTCTCTCTGCTTCCTGCCTTCCATGAAGTAAGCAGCCCTGCACACCACATGTTCTCCTATCTCACCTCAGGCCCAAGGTAATGGACTGGCCACCCATGGTCTAGAACCTCGAAACCATGAGCCCAAATCATCTTTTCCTCCTTTTGAACGGTTTCTCTGAAGTATTTATGACAGAGATGGAAAACCTAACACACTGCATTTAGACAAAAAGAGGTAGGAAGTGAAGGAGCATGTTAAAGTTGTTTTCCATTGGTGCCCAGAAACAAGCATGAGTTACTGGGCAACTTGGAGCATCTGAGTTCTGCAGGGACTCTCTAAGCAGTTGAGGACCAGGAAGCCCAAGCTAGTCAAGTTCTATGCTGCGCTTTGGATGAGCATCCCTTAAGGCCCATGTGTTCAAAGGTTGGTCCCTGACCCATGGTGTTATCAGGGAAGTGGTAGATCCTTGAAGAAGCGGAGCCTAGCCCAGTGGTGGCTCATGCCTGTAGTCTTAGCTACATGGGAGGTAGAGGTTGGGAGGATCATGGTTTGAATCCAGCCTGGACAAAGTTTGTAAGACCCCATCTCAACTTACATTTGATGTGGTGGTACCCATCTATCATCCCAGCTATGCAGGGAAACACAAATAGGAGGATCACAGTCCAAGCCTCCCCAGGCAAAAAATGAGACCCTATCTCAAAAACAACCAGAGTGACAGAAATAGTAGGGCACCTTCCTAGCAAGCACAAGGCCTTGAGTTCAAACCTCAGTACTGCCAAAGAAAACAATAGCAAAAAGAGACAGAATCTAGTTGGGAGACTAGATTATACGGCGGTGAGCCCTCCAAGGGGATATTGGGACTCCATCCCTTCCTCTTGCTCCTATCCACCATGAGGCGAGCTGTTTGCCCTACTACATTCTCCCACATGATGTGCTGCCTCACCACAGGTCCAGAAGCAATGGATCCACCTGGCCATGAAATGAAACCCCCCAACTTTTCTCAGGTATTGTGTCATAGTCATGGAAAGCTAACAAGCCATTTCTATAGCATTACAGGGCTAATGGTTTCACCCCCGCTGATCAATGAGAGCAAATTCTAAGGCAGATGAATATAAAATTCAGCAATTAGTGACCCAATTCATATTATTCTCTCAAGGTAGCAAAAAATAAAAAATATATATCTATAATGAAATATTCATATAATCGAACAAACATGGATTTGTATTTTGTTTTGCTTTGAGCTACTGGGAAAATTATAACTACTCTCTATTTGATTTTTTTAATAATACATGGCAAGAACCTAGAATTACAAGAATAAATCATTATCTTGGATCTAATGAACTTTTGTCGCATAGTATACTGTACCATTGCACAGAATAGGAAAATATACACAAAGTACCTCTTCTCACAGTTTTTGCTTATTTTTTTTGCCAGGTCTGGAATTCCCAATTTTTGCATAATTATTAAATGTCTCAT